AACCCTCTCTCCCCCTTCCTCCTCCTCTCCCTACCCCTCACTTCCCCATCTCTCCCCCTTTCTACCCCTCACCCCATCCCTCCCCCTCTCTCCCCCTCCCTCTCCCTCTCTACCACTCACTTCCCCACCCTCCGTCCCTCCCTCTCCTCTCTCAAATACCCCACTTCTACAACGGTAAAAAGATCACCGCAAACCTTCAAGCCTTATCAGAAAGACAACTACAGTACACAAGAGTACACCGACATAGATCCTCAACTCTCTCACAACCCATGAGTCTGGGGGAGGAAGGGGGAGGAGGGAGAGAGAGGGGGGATAGGGGTAGGGAAGGGAGAGGGGAGAGAGAGAAGGGGGGGAGAGAGAAAGAGAGGAGAGCGGAGGAGAGAGATAGGGGGGGAGAGGGGGAGGGGAGAGAGACAGAGAAAAGAGAGAAAGAGAATTTGTTGTATCGGAATAGAAAGAGAGAGAGAGAGAGAGAGAGAGAGAGAGAGAGAGAGAGAGAGATAGAAAGGCGATTTGTTTTATCGGAATAGAAAGAGAGAGAGAGAGAGAGATAGAGATAGAGAGAGAGAGAAAGAAAAACAAAGAGGATAAGTTGTATCATGTCCCCGATGGCCAGCCGACCCGTCCCCGCTGCCAACTGACACAGAAGATCCCCCGGAACTGATTGATGACTGCGCATGCTCAGCGGGGTAGTCGCCATTGTTTAAACAGCATTTTAATTTAGCGTGGCTTCCTATCTGTCACTCGTAGGCCTGTGTTTGTTCAAGGCACTGTCTTACCCTGACTTTCTCACGGCACGAAGACTATCGCTATACCATCGGGGGGATTTCACACACGTAGAAAATGATTGTAGCCTTGGGATATGGCTGTACTCAGGGAGGCTCAGAGCAGACGGATATTACCTGTTAGTAGTAGAAGGCTGTGGGGGCGGGGGGGGGGGGGGAGAGAGACCATGTGATATGCCTGGATGTTATACAATCGGGGAAGGGAGTTAATCCCCAAGATCTGGAATTACGGAATTTATTTTGGCGATTTATGATGTGGGAGGGATAACGCCCGAATATTACACTTTGAAAGTTCTTTGAATGCGAAGGAAATCCGAAAATGCTGTCGGAATCGTCTTGTTTGAGTTTGTTTGTTTTAGTAGAGAGAATCACATCGACATAATTATTGGCATTTAGTGCTGCGGAAATGTAAGGCTGAAACAATGAGGTAAGAACTTAGGACCTGCCAGTGGTTCACCTTAGACTACACGCTGTTTGAGGAAAGTGAAGCACATCGACACAGTAACGGGCATGTATTGCTGGGGAAATGTAAGACAGACAGAAACAATAGAAGGAAATTAAAGAAGTAGGACCTACCAGTTGACATTAACTTCTTAACGGTTATTAAGTACGAGGGAACCACTAATAATCAAGCGAAACTCTCTTTTTTTATTAGTTTTTTTTTCTAGTTTTAGCAGAGAGTTTTACGACGCTCGCAACAGCAAAAGGTCATATGAGCGCCAAGTGGTGGATGTCAACAGAGAAGTCCTTACAGGGAATCAAGCTTACTCTGCTCACCTCTCTAGCTTCAACAGCATAAAGTCTGCTTCTACTATCAAGGCACCCCGGAAATAGCGGGTCACTAGAGTGTATACAAAAGAAGCGGAGGAAAATTACGATAGAAAGGATGAGGAAAGAAAAAGCAGAGGCTCCCTGTTGCAGTCCAGGCACAGTTATGAGCATGACGTTGACGAATCAGCCCATTTACAATTCTACTGTGCATAAGAACATGTTAA